GTAGTTCCGCCCCTGGACAGGGAGCCGCAGCAGATGGATGAAAGAGCCACATGTGGCTCCGGAGCCGCAGGTTGCTGACTCCTGCCCTAGACATACAAAAAGGAGGAGAAATATCCTTTTTGACTCTTATTCTAGCCACTGGGAAATTGCAAAGAATCTTAACCCATTGGATCACGCGAGCACCAAAGCCAAAAAGATGTAAATATCTGCAACAAATACAGCCATTCCACACTATAGAATGCCTTAAGGGAGACTAGAGTCCTACCTTCTACAATGGGCTGGGAGAACTGAAAATTAGTAAATATGCTACGTATATTCATCTTGGTGGAGCGGCCCGGCATAAAACCCGACTGATCACTATTGATAAGGGACGATCATATACTTGTTAATATGCACAACCAGGATTTTAGCCAAAATTAATCCATTAATCAGGGAGATAGGGCGATAGGAATCGCATTTAGTAGGGTTCTTACCTGGTTTCAAAATCAGAACTATGAGGGATTCACGCATAGAGGGCGGGAGGATCCCCATATCAAATGCCTCATTATAAACAACTAATGAATGCAGGCTCAATTCCTCGCCATAGGTAGCATACCATTCTATCGGAAACCCATTTAAGCCCGTTGTTTTCTTACTCGGAAACTGGGAGAGAGCAGCCTCAATCTCATCCTCGGTAGGTGCCAAGCCCAACTCATCCCTCGCCTCAAAAGTCAAACAAGGCAGGGAAACCTGGGATAATCTCGAGATCTAAAGTAGTGTAGGTGGCTCTAGAGGTGTAGAGGTCCTCAAAGAAGGACAAAAAAGCCCCCATGATATCTTGTGAAGTAGTGAAGGTTTGTCCTGTAGAGGAAACAATGCGGGGAATGGAGGTGGGGTTATACTCTGGTCTCGTAAAATAGGCCATGAGTTTGCACGCTTATTGCCAAATTCAAACACTTTCTGTTCCGCATAAAACATCCTCTTTTTTGTACCTTCTAGGAGATAGAGCTCAAACACACTCTTTTTTACCATCCAATCTCTATAAGTAGTAGTAAAAGGGTCAGAAACATAGGCAGCCTCAGCCAAACTCACAGCCTGCTCAAATGCTTCCCACTTAAGGGATGAGGAAGATACGGCGGAATTGTCATTCCAGTAATAAGTAATAGCTTGTGAGCAGGCCTCTGAGTCCGACAACCAGGCAGAATTCATCCTCCACACGGGTGGAAAAGGAATTGCCACAGGAGAGTTCAACTAGCAAGGAGGCATGGTCTGAAATTCCTCATGGAAGGTAACGGATATCACGTAGCCAAGGAAGTACAGCAGGTGTTCCAAATGCCAAATCAATTCTAGAAAGATTCATATGTGTAGTGGAATGACAGGAATAAACTCTAAAAGGTGCCCATACACCTTACGATTATCGGACGAAACTTTTCGTCCAATGATCGAACCGTCGTACGATTTTCATACGACGGCCCCATCTTGCCCCGATTATCGCAAGGTCCAATTAGCGGTAGTTAAGAAAAACACCTGGACGACTTGCGGTAATTGACCGCAATTGTTTTTCGTTTGCACATGCACAGTGTTAATCGTACGACTTTTGACGGACGGAAACGCCACCAACCATGCGAACATCGTACGATCTAGCAAAGTTTTCAAACATGCTTGACCGTCAAAAGTCGTACAGTACTATCGGTCGGGCTCTCTATTCACACATTACGATTGTCGTACGAAAAGTCGATCGCATACGATTGTCGTAAGGTGTATGGGCACCTTAAGAGTCTGGATACTTCTTCACTATCCACGCGATGAGTAGCAGGAGAGGAGGATGAGGAGCAGCCAGGTGCCAAAATTAAGCAGGAGTGAGCGGCCAGGATAGCTGTGTGGATGATGAAGGACCAAAGCTGCAGAGATCAGTGTCCGTCTATGCCAGAAGTCAGGCCATGCCCCCAGTTGCCCCAATTTTTGTGAACTCAAAACCTTTTTTGTTAGTTGATCTCTGTGTTCCCATTAGGGAGATTTGCCTAGTCCTGGTGACTATTAGATAGAAAAAAAACTGCGCTAGGAATCAAATAACACTCAAAGAGCAGCTGTGCTTAATAGGTGAGTACACCCAAAATAGGAAAAAATAAAATAGCACTGCGCTTCAAACTCATAAATATTCCAAAAATGTGAGAAAAATTGTATGAATTGTGAAATTGTCACAAAGTGATAAACAATTTTGTGTCATATACAACACCTGTGGGAGTTGTACATCACTTGTGAGATTTAATACAGGATTTTCTATATGTACACACTTTATGAGATGTACTAGCACATTTTGTTTGTTTGTTTCTTATGGTTTATAGTGTCGAGACCAGGGGCCAGCAACCTGCGGCTCCGGAGCCGCATGTGGCTCTTTCATCCCTCTGCTGCGGCTCCCTGTCCAGGGGCGGAACTACCTCTGGGGCCCAGTGAGGTCCGGGACTGGGCAGCCCCCGGGTGGAATATGCGGCAGTGCAGGGTCCCGGGGCCCCACACTGCCGACAGGCTTCTCAGTAAGGGGGCGGGGGTGACTCACCTCCTCTCCTGGCCGTGTCCCTAGTAACAGGTGAAGTGTGTCACATGCCCCGCCCCGCCCCCTGCAGTGCACACTGTCTAGCTGGGATGCTGGCTGTGAGGCTTGGCGAGTCCGAATGAGCGGGGGGAGTGCGTTACTTTTTTTATAAATTCTTTTATTTTCGTAACATAACATGTTATGTCATGTTATGTCATTTACATACAGTAGAAGGGGAAAGTACATACACAAATCATATACAGACAAGTGAAAAAATAGCATGAAAAAAAAACCAAAACCCAATTATAGGCATTCGGCAAGATTACTAACATCCCATGGTTACACAATAAGCTTGATACGTAAACATTGAGCTGTGAGCAGAACTTCCCCAGATTCTGGAGTCCAATACCCCTATCATCTCGGGGGAAAGCTCCAACTATGAAATGGTCCGTAGATGGCTGAGTTATCAGATCGTCCATCCAGCGAATCATAAGTAACCGTTACCTTGAGGAAGGTGTAAAATACCTAAGGGATGGCTAGATACTCGAATGCGAAAGGAGAGGAAAAAAAAAAGGAGGGGGTAAAGGGAGGGGAGGAGATAAGGCAAGGCAGAGCCTGGATAGAGTCAGAGAGGTAGAGGGGTCAGGGGAGGGATACCAGAGAGTTGGCATCACTCAAGAAGCCATATATGCCCGATATTCATCCGTGGTCGTATATTCGAGCCAGTAGTGCCAGGTAGCATTGAATCTAGAGGAAGCATCTTTGATGTGACTGGTAAGATCTTCCATATACCTTATGTCATTAATTTTGGTGAACCATAGCTTTACCGAGGGTGGAGCCTCCTGTTTCCACAGCAGAGGTATACATGCTCGTGCTGCGTTGAGCAGATGGACCATTATTGACCGCCTATATCCCTTGAGCGTATACTGATTATGATGCAGTAGAAAAAAGGCTGGGTCATCCGGAATCGGACGGTCAGTGAACTTTTGGGATATAAGTCGCACCTGGGACCAAAACTGCGCCAGTTTCGTGCAGGACCAATGTCTGCCCTTGGCTCACCGCAGCGCCAGCAGACATACAGCAGGGCTGGATACATAAGGTGTAGTCTACTAGGAGTCCTGTACCATCTCGTCAGGATCTTATATCCTGATTCTTGGAGCTTATTGCAAATGGATGCCTTCAGGGACAGCTTCATTATCTTGCTCCTTTCTGGGGTTGTAAATTGTGTCCCTGGCTCCATTTCCCATCTCTCTATAAAGTGTAGCGGCTCGGTCAGGTCAGCGGATAGCAAAGTTTGGTAGCAAAAGGATAAGGATTTTGCTAGGGGGCCCTGGTCTATATAGGCTTGTTCGAGTGGAGTCAGTGGGCGGGTGAACGCTGTCGGGTTTGGGATGGATGCGAGGTAGTGGGAGAGTTGAAGGTGTCGCCATAGACCCAGGCTACTCAGAACCGGGTCGGGAGTGCGTTACTAAGCCCAGAGTCCAGCGCGTTACTAAGCCCAGAGTTCAGTGCGTTACTAAGCCCAGAGTCCAGTGCGTTACTAAGCCCAGAGTCCAGTGCGTTACTAAGCCCAAAGCCCAGAATCCAGTGAGTTACTAAGCCCAGAGTCCAGTGCGTTACTAAGCCCAGAGTCCAGTGCTTACTAAGCCCAGAGTCCAGTGCGTTACTAAGCCCAGAGTCCAGTGCGTTACTAAGCCCTCATATAACAACTCAAACAACTATACATAGCAAAAAGGTAAAAGACGATACTAAGCCCAGAATCCAGTGAGTTACTAAGCCCAGAATCCAGTGAGTTACTAAGCCCAGAGTTCAGTGCGTTACTAAGCCCAGAGTCCAGTGCGTTACTAAGCCCAGAGCGTTACTAAGCCCAGAGTCCAGTGCGTTACTAAGCCCAGAGTGCAGTGCGTTACTAAGCCCTCATATAACAACTCAAACAACTATACATAGCAAAAAGGTAAAAGACGATATATGACGTGTTTTCCTTCATTTTAGATGTCAGAAGGGTTTTGTGGCTCCCGGTGTTTTCTTTTCTGTGGGAAACGGGTCCAAATGGCTCTTTGAGTGTTTAAGGTTGCTGACCCCTGGTCTAGACCCTTAGACCTAGAGCTTTTTCTTACTATCATCAGCAGAGGCATTGTGCAACACAGGTGTTGTGTATGACACAAAATTGTTTATCACTTTGTGACAATTTCACATTTCATACTATTTTTCTCACATTTTAGGAATATTTTTGAGTTTGAAGCGCAGTGCTATATTCTTTTTTCCTAGTCCTGGTGACTGTTCTCACTGAAAGTGAAAGAAAATACCTAATTGTGGGTGGTCATCAGAAGAGGAATAGAAATGAGAAATCTTCCGATGGGGACAATAGTTCTGGTGACCCTGCTGACCACCAGGGATTTCCTAGTGACTGTTATCTAAAGTGCAGTTATACGGTCAGGAAACATCAGAAGTTTGTTTTAAAATCAAAATATACTGAGAGTAAACTTACCTTCTGAAACATAACAAAATGGTTTATTTCTAACAGAAAGCATGGTGAACAGATTGAAAAATAGAGCCACAAAAGTCCCCACCAGAAGACGGCCACTAGAAGAAAATCAGAATCATCATTAAATGTAATTTGCAAACATTTAGCACTTACAAAGTATTGGTTCTGGGTTGTGTTTTGTACCATGCATGATACTATGGACAAAAGTAAAAATGTATAGTAATAGTAAAAGATAGACACGTTAAATCATACAAGACTTACATTCACTCTACTCTGTGTTTGGATCACCACACACATATTTTACATTACATTTTATAGGGGTGCAGTTAGACTTTACACATTACTATACCGGGGGGAAATTACCAAAACACTTGCACTGACAAACAGTGCAGAATATGGCACTATTTCATTTGGTAAAGGAAACCTGCACGAAGAGAGTATGGAAGCTGCCATTCCTGACCTTCCCTTTCAGTAAAGCATTCTGATCGCCTGTCTATCATTGTTTTCTAATGGCTTTAGTACTTTTTAAATCACTGACCTGAGACAAGAATACAGATTAATAGTGCCAATATGTTGCGCTCGGTCTTGTGTATAAACTAATGCTCCCTATATTTTAGGAGTGAATATCAACATCATATCGCTACAACATTGGCAAATCTAAGAGTAAAAATATAATAAAATATATTATATTGTGTTAAATCCTGTGTAGCGATCTGTTAAATCTTGTGTGCTGTAAATACTGTGTAACAACATCAATTCCTCTATTAATTGTGCATAGTTAAATGTTTGTGTGTGAATCCTTACACCACTTACTTAATAAACATTTTCATGAGTATTGAAAAATGTTTCAGCAGTAAAAGCTTTTAAAGCGTCTGGGTATTGCATTTTTTTGCGGTTTCACGGATGCACGCAATTGTAAGGCTCGACATGTTTGGTATCTATTTCCCCGGCGTGACCCTGTCTTTTATATGTTACCAAAAAATTGGGTATTATTTTCTGTTTCTGTGCACTAAATTTAAGTTTAGTGTATTTTATCCTAAAAATACTAGTTTGATAAACATTTGAGCAAATACCGTGTGACATAAAAAAATTGCAACTAACATTTTTTTTATTCTACAGGGCCTCTGCTTTCAGAAAATATATAATTGTTTGGGGGTCTAAAGCTGTTTTCTAGCCAAACGTTCTGATTTTATCATGTGTGTGCAAATAGTAATACCTTTCTCTGGCCAGGAAGTGGTTAATATACATGCCTCTTAATAGCTGAAATGTGCATAATTTTTCGCTTCAAATATGAGCCCATTTTGTCAAATTTGTTTCAAATGTATGCAAACATACAGGGGAAATAACTTACTGGTTTGTACTAGATATGTGCCTTATTTACACTGCAGAAATGCCTCATTGTAAGCGTCTGCTTTTATAGACAAACCTAACAGGTAAGACAGAAAATGAAATACATAAAATACTTACGTGTGTATCTCTGGCTGTTCCAGAAATCTTTCAGCACTAAAAATAAGATAAGATATTACAGCAAACATGAATCACGTCTATTTCGGTTTATTTTTGTTTAGCTTTATTAAAACAATATGCCGCCAGAAAAGATTTTTCCAATTGTGAAAATGCAACAAATCTGTAATCCCCCATTGGGTATTCACAAATCTCCGGAACCAATTGGGGCATTCGCCCTTTTTAAAAAAAATGATTTTTAAGTTATTTCTTTTTTTAATAGTTTTGGATAGAGTAGGGAGGAGTTAAAAGCACTGACAGGTTTTACTTTTGCTGTCTGTGTCCCTTTGCAAAAATCTTCCTTTACTCCCTGTCTTGAAACATGACAGGAAGTGAGAAAGAATCTCTCCAAAAAAAGAAAAATCACCTTGTCACTGGAACTGGTGTCCCCAATTGAATATTTCTCCCCTATTCTTGTCCTGGTGACATCTGGTTCGATTTTCTCTCACTTTCAGTTGTGGTGACAATGGTCAGCATGACAAATAGAGAGGGTGAATCTAACCAAGAAGTACACAGACAGCAATTAAATAAAAACCTGTCAGGGGTTCTAGCCCTTCCCTGCTTTAATAAAAAAATAATAAGCGTTTTGTCTTTGGATACACTTTAATTTCCTCATGTTGTTCTGCAAAAGTTGGCAGGATCTTCTTACCTGTTACTGTCATAACCGTTCCCAGAAAACTCTGTGCTTCATAGTTCTGGCCTACGTCTGGCTCTGCTGGTCACAGCAGTGCTCTGTCCAGTTTGATTTCAGCCAATAACACCTGGAGCTTGGCTGAAAAACTAGGTCTTGCTTTTTACTGGTATGCTTAAAAAAAAAAAAAAAAGGATTTTTGTACTTGCCGTAAAAACTTTTTCTAGGACTCTATTGGAGGGTCAGATGACGTCTTTCAACCTTCAGGTTATACTGCTGCCTACAAACAAAAAACCTATAGACGCGTCCAGGATAACCCCTTCTACTACTAGCATGCCTCAGAATGGTGTGACCTGTGTCTCTCAGCATTTTAAAGTGAGTATAAAGATCCTATTTTCTCTCGCGCTTTGAGGGTCTTTCGCTTTTGAGAAATCCAAAAGCAGTTCAATTAAGGAGTGGGCAACAAAGCAAACAAACATACATAGGCCTGTGAAAAAAGACAGAGAACTAGACACTGCTTGCAGAGCCATCTGAAGGACCTTATGCCACAAGCTGGCATCAGGCGAGCTGAAAACATTCACCTAGTAGAAAATGTGCGCACAGAAGACCAGGTGGGAGCCTTGAAAATCTGGGAAATGGTTGCTTGATGCCAAAAAACCCAAGAAGCACTCAAAGATCTAGAAGAGTGTACCCTAGTAAAAAGGGGTGGAACCCGATCCTCAAAACCCCAAAATTTGGTTGATGGTCTGCCTGCACCACCTATAGATAGTAGAGAGAGAAACCGGAGGACCTGTATGGGTCCATCCAGGATTACAAAAAGGGAATCAGTCTTTCTAAAGGAAACAGTGGCTGACTCTTACAGCAAGAACCACATCCAGACAATTGTGAGAGAAATATCCTTTGGGTGAACTGGACAGAGGGACAGGAGAAATTTGTCATGGCTGAGGTGAAAGGCATAAACTACCTCAGGCAAACAGGAAGTTCGGGGCCTCAACACTATCCCTTCCCTTTGCAAAACCAGCAACCAGAAGGGGGTTCTTAGCAGAATAAGGCCTCTAGTTCAGTCACTTGACTCACATAGGCAATGGACTACCACCTTGTGGGTGAAAGTAGAGAGAGGAATATCTATAATGGGTACAAATGATGGTTTCTGAAGCACAGAGAGAACAAGTTTCAGATCCCACAGAGTAACAAGGGAATGAACAGGGTGAGCTACATTGGAAAATGGGCAGAAACTCGGTCATTCATAGTGCTGAGAGCCAAACGCTGGTCCGTCCCTACCAGGCCAGGGACAACCTGGTTCACAATGCCAAATGAAGTGGTCTGTCCAGAGACTTAACTGACTTGTCCCCGTGATCAATGGAGTACCTATGGTAAGCACTGAAAATACGCCATCTGGCACACCCAGACACACACACTAGAGCTGCTAGCTTGCATGCTCAGATACACTTAAACACTAAAGCTGTTGGATCTGTAAGGTTGCTGCAGATTAAGGAATTACAGCACAATGTACAGAAGTGGTGGTGTGGAATAGAACAACAGCATGGCATATGGAATGAGGTGGTGTGGACATTTGAAACTTTTGAAGTGGATTGGAAACTCACCACTATGGACATTTCATCTCTTTACACATGCATCCCTAATAAAGCAGGTCTTAGGGCCACAGAGCATTTTCTCTAACGCAGAGATGTACATGATGTTCCCACTGCTTTCATTCTGAGTTGCTTGGAATTCGTACTTGAGAACAATGTGTTCACATTTGAAGAAATGGTGTTTAAACAGATTCGGGGTATTGCCATAGGCAGCTCAGCAGCACCCTCTTTTGCAAACTTGTTTGTGGGTTCATTGAAGAATGTCATGTGTACATATCGCTCTTTTATGCACAACATGTGAAGTTACGGTTGATTCATAGATGATATCTTTGTCATATGGGATGGCTGTACTCATGCGTTCAATGAATTTGTATCATACTTAAACGGATGGCATCGGATTCTCTTCTCTGTTCCATATTCCAGAATATACTTGTTCCTTTCTTCATGGGCTGAGAACTTACCATAGAAAAACAATGTGCTCTGTTGTAAAAGAAATGCTTCTCTATAGCACCATCCTGTGGCTGATTTTAAGAAGGCAGGTAAGGAAGTCAATACATTTTATGGCTGTGGGCTGGAACAGTGATAGTTTGACTGACAATTACTCGTTTATGCAGCAATGTACCTAAATTAAATTTCGTAGCTCTTTTTGAGACAGTTAGAGCTTTTTTTTGGTGGTATTTAACCACTTAACAATGTATAAAGTGCAGCAGTCAGACTGCATGGGTCAGGATTATGTAATGCACAGAACAGCTTGCAGATTTCAGTGGTCCAGAGTCAATGCCCATTATGGTGATAATCAGTGGTGAGTGTCTATTTAAATGTTAGTAGTCAGTGGTGTGTGGTACATTAAATGTTGGTGATCAGTAGTCAGTAGTGATGTTTACCCCTATAATATTGGTTGTTAGAGTGCTCCCTTTATGGTTTATATGCCCACTCTGTACCCTCTTGCTAAGTGGTGATGTGTCTGCCTCCCCCTTGCTGCACAATGTACTACCTTTTGCTGGTGGTCAGTTTGAAGTTTTACTTACAGGATATTAGGATAACTGCTCAGAGAAGAGGAATGCAGAAGAACATAAAAAATCTGCAGCAGAGGAGGAAGAGGCAGGTTCTCAAATGTTAACAGTAGTATTGTTCACGTTTGTGATCCCTGTGATCGGCCATTGCAGCAATAACAAGGCACACCGCCATTCGAATCAGCTCTGCATCTTTTGTCTGTAATCTGAGCCACCTAATGACAACTTGATCAGACATTTTGGAGTGACGTGACGTTTGTGAGGTTTATAAATGTCACTCCAGAAGTAGGGATGTTCAGATACCAAGTACCATACTTGGGTCAAGTGCAAGCACTGATACTTTTCCAACTCCAAAACTACACTAGACAAAAACTCAAACGTTAGGAGGAATCTGTCATTTTTAAGGAGCAATGGCTACGGGCTCCTGGGATTTGTACATACCCTTTTTTAATGTATGATATTATAGATAGATAGATATTTTAGGGATGCATCAATAAAAAAAATTCCAGGCCATGTACAAGTACCGATACTTGTCCAAGTACTCACCGATACCAATTACTGATACATTTTTGTTTAGTGTCATGTGACAGTTTTTAAAAAACAATATAGACTTATGATTTCCACAGTGGTGGAGTGCCAGGGCCCAGTTGCAGCTGCAAGAGCTGTGACCCTTGTAGTTTTTGTGAAAATGCCAAATATTGGCACTGGTATCTGAACAAGTATCTGAACATGTCTATCCAGAAGTAGTAGAAGTCCACCTACCCACAGTTTTCTTTACAATATACTGGTGGGGAGGTGGTTAAAGATAGGTGCACTCTCCACAGGTATGTTTCTCGCTTAAGATGGCACACTGCCGGATCCAAAGCGGGGGTAGACCAGTTCTATAACAATGTCTTCCTAAATGGGTACAATGCTTATACCTGCTTGGTGAGAGCAAACAGCTTGTCAGGGTGTTTCCAATTTCCATAGGGAAAATGTTGGAATAGTGGATGCAATGGGAAAGCCTTTGCAGCCGTACAGACTCTAAAAGACCCAAGACTGAAACCAACACTGGTAGAAGCAATACACTGATCCTCTATAGTTTCAGAGTGGTTCACACAGCATCGACAAGAACATAAACAATGTTTTAATTTGGGAGTAATGGCAGTGGACTGCGACTCCTCAGGGGTATGCTTTTTAGTTAGAGACTGGAGCAACTCTGAATAAGAGTCTCAACACCATTACAAGGCCCAGAGCTACTCTGAACGGCTCTGCCCCAGAGTTGTTAGCTCAGTGTGAGTTGGGGGCACCTGTTGCAGTGGAACCCTCCCTCCACCGTAGGGAGATACTTCTGCAAAGCTGTGTGGCTGTAAAGAGAGCGTTGGGCATATAAGCGATGTGCCAACCAGTGAATTACATCAGTGTTCAGTCCCACGGGCATTTTAAAGACACCCAGCAACTTATGTAATGGAGGTAGCTCCCGGTGCTTGGCCCGACAGTCTTACTCACAAAGTGAGTCTTCAGAGACTCGGCCCGACTGTCCTACTCACAAAGTTTGTCTTCAGAGACAGGCCAGTGGCTCTGGACCTGGAAAGTGCTCCGCTGCTAACGTTTTTAGAACAGAGTCTGAAATGTGCCCTATGCAGGACCCAGTACCTGAATTTAACTTCCAACTATACCTCCAATGTCCTGTCTTGTGGGATCCAGACATGGCATTCCAAAAGCCAGGTTGAGGATGGCCGCAGTGTATAGCCCGAATGGAAGAGAGAAGAGACTAACCACTGTAGAGCAATGTAAAGAATAGTCTTGATTTAAGAAGAAAAGTCTTAAAAAGCAAGAAAAAAAAAAGGTGCTAGCAATAATAGGTTAGTCTTCCACACAGCAGAGCTAAAGTTATGTTCGTCCTCCTAGGACACTAGTAAAAACAGGCATGCTAGTAGTAGGAGGGGCTATCTTGGACTGGCCTTCAGTTTTTTGTCTGCCAGTGTCAAATCGTGCTGTAGGCGGCAGTATACTCAAAAGGTGAAAAACTTCCTATGGCCCACAAAGGACGAGAAAGTAAAGCACATTGGGCTCTGTTTGGGGGAGGTAAACCATAGCAATGAGGCTTTTATTGTATAGATTGATTTCTGTGTGGATTCTTTGTCAATTCATATAGAAAAATCAACTAGAATTGAGTCACATGCCAATGCCGGAGCACTTTTGTGCTACTGGATTCTCCATAGGAAAATATGGAGAATGGACTACAAGCAGTTGACAGTAGGCTGAAAATTCTGGCTGATTACCATTTGGTTTAAAAGTTAAGCTCAGGTTTTCATAGCTGTGCTGTAGGTCAAAATATCCTCATAGGGTCTATAGGAGCATTAAAGAAAAAGTAAGGCCTGCCCTTCCCACCAAAAGGCAAAATGTAAAGTTCATTTGGCTTAATGATTTTGCTTAAATCATTATAGCCCAACTCCAGTCAAAATTATTTTAGTTTTTAATAGAGTGAATGGAATACAGCCTGTTTTTTACGTTTCCCCTGAATTCCTACATCTCCTGCCATCTTTGGTTTTGTGCAGTGGCCCCTCCTTAACTACAGGACATATTACAGACAGTGCACAGCACCAGAAGTTTGCTGGATGTGAAGATTCTGCCAAAGGATTTTTGAATTTGTTTACAGGTGACATAACTACAATATTTTAATACATCAAACCATTAAATGAAAAAAACAGATTACACCAAGGCTAAATATTTGGATTTTTTGCTTTGCAGCTCTGAGGTCCTGGGGCTAATTACAATTAGAAACACTATATGCAAGGAATTTGTTGTGCGTTTGTATGACTGCTAGGGACACTAGCTCATGACCTCCTTCAAGGAAGGGACTAACACGAATCATTAAGTTAGCTGTAAAGTGCCATCAGCATTATGTAATAGGAAATATATTTGTTCTGTTTTAGCTGAAAAATACTTTTTTTTAAATCACCTTACCTTTCTTTTAATATAAATAGTGCACCCAACTGGGCCAAAACTGTAGAGGCAAAAACTGCAAGCACTTCAAATCGTTCAAACCTATAAATTAATAAGAACATAATGTAATGAGCTGTAAGGCGTATTTTCACAGAAATAATGAACGTAACATTTACCAGAAATTCATTTTTATGTGACTTGCACATTTTCTTGCTTGGCATTCCAAATTCTGATGTGAGCCCACTTGTGGTCATCTGAATATTAGGATATATATATATATATATATCTATCAATCATTCCCTTTGGTACAGTTAACCTTTAATTAGGGCAGCCCACCAAGTTAAATACATGTTCTCTCCTTCCCAGATATTTACTGTGAAGCCCTATGTTACCACACATCCTTTTCACAGATATCATCCCTCAGGGTGATCCTTTTTCTGTGTGTACCACCATGGTCCCATTCACTCATGAGAGAAAAAACTGTACTCAAGACAGCCTCCAGTGGATTAAAGCTCTTTCAGAGGAATGAATGGGGCTGCAGCAAGCATGCACAGGTAGTAGTGGACCCAGTGGGGAGCTTTTCAGCTGGAAGGATGTAGGATCCCAGGTGGGGACACACAGTGAATATCACTGGAACTGGGAGAAAGGTAACTATTTATGCAGGTGGGCTTCACTCAGGTGGTGGACCGTTAAATAAAGAAGTATTCCAGAATCCTGCTGCACTCATTACCGGGTATCCCTGTCAGCGTGGGTGCTCGAAGTGACCGCGGATGGCGCCGCCAATACTGAAACTTGTTAAAGATGTCACCAGCACACCATATTGAAGTGAAGAACACATCTGTTTATTGACGCTTCATGTCAAACAAACAACGTTTTGGGGCCACACAGGGTCCCCTTCAGCAGACTTGAAATGACTTCAATTCAATATGGTGTTCTGGTAACATCTTTAACAAGTTTAATTAAAGAACTCCTAGGCAGACATGTTATTAAACCACGAAATGGGGCTACCCAGAAGTGCTGTTTGAGGTTAACTGCTCGTTTTTGCTTAAGATAAAAAAATGTATACTCACCCAATCCTCCAAGTCAGCCGGCTCTTAAACCCAGGACAGCCATCAGACATTTTGGGGTCCCTTACACAGCTTTAGGCCTCCAGAACAGTATATGAACTGGACTCTGGGCTTAGTAACCCGCTGGACTCTGGGCTTAGTAACCCGCTGGACTCTGGGCTTAGTAACCCGCTGGACTCTGGGCTTAGTAACCCGCTGGACACAAGTGAGACCCAACACATACTAGAGACCCCACACAGCCCACCTGAGAGTGACCCTGCAGAGCACACCATAGATGCTGCACAGCCCATCTGAGACTCAATATGGTGGGCTCTGCAGGGGTCTCAGGTGAGCTGGATATCTTGCTCTCCTTTGCAGTGGTCTAGGAATCCTCAAACCATCACATCCAATAGTGTATAGGACATGGGGGTGCCGAAGAATATACCATTGCTACAGTGGCGAAAGAGAGAGGTTGGAGGAACAGCTGACGGTCTGATAGCCACAACAGGAAGAGAAAGGATTTCCAACGAGATGGAAATCCATGGGGGTCAGCAGTGTCCCCATTGGAAGATTTACCATCTTTTCGTGTTCTAATAAAAACCCAAATTTTGAATTTTCTTTCACTTTCAGTAATAATTGCCAGGACAAAAAGAGAGGGTGAATCAGACAGACAGCAATAAACACCTGATAAGTATTCTAATCCCTTTCCATTCTATCCAAGTGTAAAAAAACAGTGTTGGCTTCAGTTGCACTTAAAATGCTGTCTGTGTTCCCTTTGTGAAGACTTACCTCCCCTTCCTTTTCTGTCTGACATCCCTCACCTGGATAGGAAGCAGGGGCAATTCACTCCAATAGGAACAAAGACAGCAATATAAACTTGATAAACGTTCAACCCCTTCTGCACACTAATAGCAGACATGTTAAATAGATTACCACTCACTTCCTGTTCTACCGCCCATCAAATACTCCAAGTCAGCGCAAATGTCCCCAAAAGCAAAAAATGCTTTTGCTGCAGTTGGAGTTGGGCTTTAAAGTGGAACACCAAAAAACAATTCTAGCTTTCTCCTCATATGTGACCCTGTTCCAAATTAATCCAAAACAAAAAAAGATAAGCTAGAATTACACTTTAAACAAAGCTGACACTGAGCATTTAACATGAATAAAATAAATAAAAAAAAAAAATACATACCCAAAAGAATATGTGTGACTGTGTTTTTTCATCATTACCCAATAGCTTATAAAACAGGTTATTAAACTGGGAAAAAACAAAAAATCTGGATTAGTATTTAAGGGTACTAAAGTTCGTCCTAAAGAACATTGGAAGAATAAACGCATAATATAGGAAAACAGAGTCTCAGTAAGAAAATTGAAGTTGCTTGTTGGAAAACGTTTTGAATTAACAGTGACGGCAGCCAATCAGCTGCCATCACTGTTCGGATATTCTAACAGCAGCATATCTGCCCTTGTCAGGTTGAGAGCATGGTTGGACACTTAATTATTTATATTTACTATAAGGACAGCATCTTGACAAAAGAATGGGAAGGTCACATGCCCTCCCATGTACCGGGTGTGTTTCCAAGGGCACGAACAGACTGATCTGTGTTACTTTGCGTTGTATTAAGTTAGAAAATCAGAGTAAATGAGAGTGATGAGTAAAAACTAAAGATTTTACCTGAAGAGATCAAAGATTGTCAAATAGGTATAAGCAGTAAGGGCTGGAAGAAAAAAAAAAGATACAGATTACAGTATATTGTAAAATTTGTAAGATGAAAAACAAAAATAAAAAATAGGCACCATCTGTAGGTTCAAAGCAAAAGACAACTACTTATTACTATCCTTTAAAATGTTGGAAAAGTTGACAAAGAAAACATTTGGCTAGACAAACATTCTAAGATGAGAAAAAAAATAACTGCTTAAATAATATCCTTGAGAAAATATAAATGTGTGTAAAGACATACCCATACTGTTTGTAGAACTGCACCATGTGAGTAAGAATCCTGTGCAAACCACATTTATGGCACCGAACAGCAAAATCTTCCATGACTAAAGCAGAAACCATACCTCTTGTTAAATAATGTGGCACAAAATGTCAAACGTTATATGATGTACTAAAATACATTTTAGATATACAATTAACATAACATTACATTGAATTAACCCTTTCGCTGCCAAGCCGTCCGGAACATTTTGCTCCTCAGCTGGCCACACCATTTTTGCAATGTTTCCCATTGATTTGATTTTCAACTGCTGCGTTACTAGCGTTTGTAAAAGACCCCCCAAACCATATATTTTCTGAAAGCGCAGGCCCGGTAGAATAAAAAGATGGTGCTACTACATTTTGAAGGCCTGCGATAATTGCGCAAATGTTTATCAAATTAATATTAAACCGATAAAAATACACAATTCAATTGATAAAGCACACTAAAATCAGTATCCGTGCACAAAAAAAAACATTTTCTGACTACATCTAAAAGATAAAACTGTATTGAGTTAATCAATAACAAATATTTGCAAATTTGAAATTGGGCCTTTTTGCGAAAAGGTAAAAAAATGAAGGATCTGCACTGTACTGAAAGCCGCGCATTCCTTGTGACAGCCGATGCTTGAGTCAGTGAGAGGCAGCCACGGAGCCTCCGTGCTGCTTTAATGACAGCCCAGCCTGCACGGCATCAGAGGGGCCCGGGGACCACCAAAATGTTCTTGGTTGGTGACCGCTGGTATAGCTGGTTATTATACTGCCATCAAGTGGGCATTTTGGTTATTGCACCATTGCAAGCCTTCTTTCCAGCCAATCAGCATGGAGCCGACTTCCTGGGCAATCAGTAATGTTCTCCCGCCCGGGAAGCCGGCTCCATCCCAGCGGAAGTACCGAAAGCAAAATATCGGTACTTGTACCCGATACCGAAAAAAAGGGGATCGGTGCATCCCTAATATTTACTATTGGTTTGCAGCATGTAAAGCTGTGATCAGAAGTGCCAAAGTGCCTCTGACCTGTACACAATATAACAATGTCATATTTTCAGAACACAGGTTACCTGAAAATGTAATTGTACTGGCACCTTAAAGTGACACTAAACTCAGGAGTTAAATCTTAAAATGCATTCAAGTACCTTAACTATTAACAAAAATGTAGATTATTTGTCCATCACTCAGCTGTTAATCCTCAAATCATCTCTCAATTCGTGCTGACAGTGTCCTTCCTTCTTGAGTTTGGCTTCTTTTGTTCCCCATGGTCCCTGTGTGTTTTGTAAAATAGCCACGGCTCCAAGCTCGCTCTCTTGATGGACTACAATCTTAATACAAATTAGTAACCAACTCGTGAGATTGTAGTCCATCACAGGAGTGAGCTTGGAGCAGTGGCTACTTTACAACACACACAGGGACTATGGGGAACAAAAGTAGCCAAGTAGCCACCCTCCAGAAGGAAGGACAGTGTCAGCATGAATTCAGAGATGATTTGAGGATTTAAGCGATACATAAATAAGCTACATTTTTGTTAATAGTTAAGGTACTTGAAGGCATTTTAAGATTTAACTCCTGAGTTTAGTGTCACTTTAATAGTACTGTGCAAGTTTGCATACATTTAATCCCCAGGGCCTGGCCAGCAGTATAAATATTACAGTACATACTTACTCTGCGGTCTGCAGTCACTAGACGAAACTCCTGCGTTAATTTGCCAAGCAGGGAGCGCTGCGTCTTTCGGAAAAGGTGTATGGTCCCCTTTGGTAAACAAGATAAACATATATCATTATGAAAAGTATGAGCTGATGGTCAATGCGGTAATTAAAATAACTTGGACTACAATCTCACATTTAGTTTTATTAATTTGTACTAAGATTGTAGTCCATTGGAGCGGCGGCTATTTTACAACACACACAGGGACCATGGGAAACAAAAGTAGCCACCCTTCAGAAGGAAGGACTGTCAGCATGAATTCAGAGATGATTTGAGGATCGACAGCCGAGTGATTCTCAAATAACCTACATTTTTGTTAGATATAGACAATAAAGACAAGCAAGATTGTTTGGTGAGATATGCAAGGTCAGACAAAATATCATCACAAAAAAAAATTACAATTCAACAAAATGCTTAATATTTAATCAGTCTGGGTCAATTTTTTTTAAGTTGCTACAGTGGAGTCTTTCAAAGTCTCTGCTACATCCACAGCCCTACCCAACTCTGACAGAAGGGCAATATGGCTGAAGTTTTGGGGTGAAAAAGTCACTTCCAAACCTAAATTATGTGGAATTCTGTTTGAGGGTAAATTACTGTTTTGGTTTAGAACTAGATACTGTCTTGTCTCGATCAGCTGAAAAAGGCAAGAGATTTCCTGAGACAAAAAATGAAGGAAAATACTTTTTTCCAAGGTACACAGGAGCAATCTCCGCAGAAGTCTAACAGCAGGACTCCAATAAAAAGTTTGGGTGCAGCTCCTACATGAGGGGTATCAGCAATTCTTACCCTTCCCTCTGCAAACTTTTTTTCTGACCCACCAGCCAAGAGACAGGGTAAAAGAAAAAAGCACTTTTGAGTTGCATTTAGTTTTTTCGGCAGCAGAAAGCAATAGTACCTGTACTGACGAGTCAGTTGTTTCAAAGCTAATATTCACATGTTTTCGTCATCCAGAATTGGTCTGGAAAATACAGTAAAATGTTAGATCTGAAGCTCTTAAACAATTTTCATGGTGCCTCCATGGCAGCATACATTTGATAGCTCCGCCCTTATCCCTGCCCACAGGACTATATATATTTTAAATCAATAAAAAGATAGAGCGAGAGACCCCCCTGTATTCATTTTTTTGTCCTCACATCTCTTGACCTAGACCAGTGTGATATTGTCCCTACCTCTGTGTTGTAAGTCGACGCAGTCCCATCTGGGTTCAAGCCTCTCCCAGGTGCAGTCCCAGTTCCCCGACTGCTAAATGCGTCACTGGGACTTGGAGCCCCTTATGGCAGTCTTGGGGGCCCGTTTCTCATTCCTATGCATCCTAATCAGGATGGTCAGGCAATGCGGTGGTGGACATATTGTGGATTCACAGAGCCAGTTAGTCTGTAATCCTTCGACTGTTTCTTGTCTACGTTGTCTGACTCTCTCTCTCTCTGCTTCCTTCCACTTGGTCCATCTACTCTCCCTGGTTTCCTGTTGTTTTTTGCCCCTCCCAATGTCTGTGTGGGGTCCCCTGCAACCTCAGTGATCTTCCCTGCAGCGTCCGGTTAGGGCTGCTTCCTAGGCGCGGAGGCTCTCCCTCTGCGGTTACGCCGGTGGCCGGGCTCCATTTTGGATGAGGGCAGATGCCCTGTTCGAAACCTGGCAGGGTGGGGGAGGATCCTTGAGCTCAATCAGGACGGATTGATGGCCTGATAAATGGAGGAGGCTGTCAGCATGGCATCTTCTCTGCATGGAGCTGTATTTCGTTCTGTGCCATCACATGCCGATCCCTAGTATTTGAGGCGAGTACGTGCTCAGATGGGTGACCTATTTTTTTTCTTATGGCTGTCTCTATTCACATTTCTCTCTGTGCTCCCTCTGATCCTTGTTGCAGTATCTACCTGGTGTTTCTGTTTCTCCTTCACCATGAGCCATTAACGCTTATTCAAGATCTGCCAACCGCTTTAAGGTAGGGGACCAACGTTTGGGTACGTTTGTTTTTTTGTTTTTAAAGAGTGCATTCGCTGATGGACACTGTTTATCTTTTTTTTTGTCCCCTCAGCCCGTCCTGCTCTCCCACTGCCAAGTGGCGCAAATCGCACTGCAGCAGCGCACACTCAGGCCAGTCTGCAGACTTGCACTACCCAAGAGAAAGAGCACCTACCCCAAAGAAAAGGTCTTCAAAAAGGCATCACCTTTCTCCATCACCAGAGGGTTCACGCAGACCTAGCAAGTATATGTGCTAGGCATGCGGGGTTGTTCCCTTGCTAGACAAATTGGTGTGTTCAAGCTGCCTGGGCAACATATCATTGGACAGCAGAATGAATCATTGCCAAAGTTTAAAGCCACAGCCTCCCAACTCCTTTTTTGTCACAACCGCACTTATCACAAGCTTCTACATTTCCGGGTCAACCAGCTCCGGCTATCCCTCCAGTGGAGGGGTCAAGCTCACTGGGCGAGCAGCAGGCAGAGGAAGACTCTGATTCTTTGCTAGATGAGGAATTGGATCCTTCCGGATTTAATTTTGCCCTGGTCCAGCCATACATCAGGGCAGTGAAGCAGGCAATCAATTGGGAGGACACACCAGATCCTCCGACGAAGCATAGGCAATTCTTCCCATTTCTGAGGAAACAGGTGTCCTCTTTTCCACTCATGGAACAAATCCAGGAACTTATTTCCGATGAATGGAAAAAAGTAGAGCGAAGATGTTTAGGTAACCGTCTACAAAAGTTGTACCTGCTAGAGGTGGTTTCATTGGATGCCCCCCCCCCCTGACAGTGGATGCAGCAATTATGCATTTGGTGAAGAATGTCACCCTCCCCATGGAAGACGCTGCTTCATTCAAGGACATACTTGACAGAAGAATTGACCAAGATCTCAAAAAAATCCTATCAGATGGCGGGGGCAGCATGGTCAGCGGGGTCAGGTGGCCCTCACCTCCGTGTCCGAGGCTCTCTCATGTTGGATTGAGAATTTGGAAGCAGCCATAAAAAAAAGGACGTCCCTAAGGATGACATTAGCAAAGACTTGGACGAATTCAAGCCGACGACGGACCTGCTATAGACGTTATTAGATGTTCTGCTCGGTCTATGTTGTATTCCGTCACTGCAAAACAAGCTCTTTGGCTAAATCCCTGAATCGCGGACCTGTCCTCCAAACAGGCGTGGTGCAAGATACCTTATAATGGGAAATCCCTGTTTGGAGAAAAACTGGAATGACTGGCGGGAAGTTGGGTTTAATTTCGCAAGGCTAGACACCAGAAGGGATTTTTTTCAAGACAAAAGAGGTTTAACACTTCGAGACCCTTTTCGCCAAGGAAGGGAATAAAAATAAATAAATAAGGGAGGATGGAGAGGCACCCAGGCTTCTTTCATGCGACAGGAGAGACAAAAGCCTGTGCTGACTCCTCCCAATTCCGCTAAGCCCTTGTGACGGATTGCACGCCAAATCGGGCGCAGTGGGGGCCAGACTACATCAGTTTGCGTACGTTTGGGCAAAATTGTGCGGAGATCCATGGGTAGTGTCAACGGTCAACCATGGATATTTCTGGACCTTCAAGTCGAGACCACCACAAGATTCGTTCTCGCCCACAAGGATTTCGGCCTCATCTCATATGAAGGAGGTGCTCTTATACTATCTCAATTCCCTGCTACAACAGGGCGCTCTGCGTCCAGTTCCTCACTCAGAAATGTTCAAGGGTTTTTTTTCCCCTGCCTTTTCTTGTGTGGAAAAAGACTGGCGATTGGAGGCCGGTGATGGATTTAAAATGGCTGAACATTCATATTCACTTGCAAAGATTCAAGATGGAATCCCTTCAGACCATTATACAAACTATTCGCCCGGGTGACTGGATGCTGTCAGTAGACCTGAAGGACACGTATCTTCATATTCTCATTCTTCCCTCATTTAAAAAATACTTCAGGTTTGCAATCAGCGTCCTACATCTGCAGTTTGCGAGTCTGCCATTCGGCCTATCCACCTCTCCCAGGACATTCACGTGGGTACTGATTGCCATCCTTGCTCCTCTTCGGGAACAAGGCTTATGTGTCCACCATTAGTTGGACGATGTTTTGCCACTGTCCAACAACAAACATGAGCTGTTACGGCACAGAGAGATCCTCCTGTCCACTCTGGCCAAGTTTGGTTGGCTGGTCAGTTTCCAAAAGAGCCAACCTGTACCCTCCCAAACAAATTACCTATTTGGGAGCAAACTTCGATACCAACGGCAGTTCTGTCTCGCTACCTCCCCTGAAAGCGGAGTCCTTAAGGTCCAAGATAAAGAAGGCGATCGTCTCCACCTCTATGAGCACCTCCCAATGTTTGAGCCTTCTTGGCTCCATGACCTCATGCATTCCAATGGTTCCCTGGGCACATTTCATTAGCAGTATCTCAGGTTCGTAGTCCAGACAGCTAACAGACTTCAACACTTACAATTCCAAGCATTGCCATTCGGTCTTTCAGCACTGTCCAAAATATTTACGAAAGTATTGGCTAAGCCAATGTCCCATCTTTATCTGCAGGGCATACAAATGCTTCTTTTTCTGGATGATATCCTTTTTTTTGCTTGACTTGAGACAGTCTCTTGTTAGATCTTCACAAAGTGCTAAAGAACCTACAGACCTTGGGATGGAGGATAAATTGGGAAAAAATCAATTCTCATTCTTTTGCAGTCCAGATCTCAAGAGTATTTTTCTGGCTCAGGGGAAAATAAATATCATAGCCATGGTCATACTAGTGAGAGAACCTTTTCTGGTGTCACTCAATTCAAGCAGTTACTTGGGTGCAAGATTTTCTGTTGCCAAAATGGGACCACAGCCCAAACTCTTTAGATTTCCTAGCCAGTCTCTCCCAGGAAGTCTATCTAGATTTACCTGGGGCTGGAAATAAAAAAAACTGTTGGTTGGGTGGCGCTGGAACAGTCTCAGCTCATAAGAATAGCTACAAATGACAGTCCCTGGGGCTGGAGTGCCCATTCTGCCTGTCCTCAGGTTCAGGGACTTTGGAAAAACAGAATGATAGCCTCAGCCAACTAGTGGGTACTACCAAAAGGGAAGTGTTGCTATCCTTGCAACACCTTGCAACATCACACCCAGTGTGGATCCCTTCGCATCCAGGAAGAACAGGAAAGCAAAAAAAAAATATGTTCACTGACCCTAAAAAGGAGGAATCCTTGGGAATAGATGCCCTTTCCCATCTGTGGCTCTATAATCTAGCCAATTCCCATCTCCCTCTTCTGCCATCAATTGTCCAGAAGGTATGCAGTTCACAGAACTCTGATTCTCATAGCCCTCTGGTGGCCCAAAAGGGCCTGTTTCACCAGCCTGCAGAATCTATCCCTGGGGCCACCCTGACCTCTTCTGGAGCGACAGGATCTTATAACTCAGGGACCAGTCTTCTACCCCAATCATCAATTTTTTTCACTAGAGGGCCTGAATCTTAAGATAAATATCCTAAGTGTAAGGGGTTCTTCAAACAGAGTAATCCGTACCTTACTCAAACTCCAGAAAAATGCATGCAAGCCAGAAAAGCAAGCATACTGCCCAGGACATACCTGCACATATGGAATTCTTATAGGACAGGGTCAACTTGGCTGTCCTTAAGAGCATTAAAGGTGTAGATTTCCACATTTACTATATTCTTAGAAACTAAACTTGCAATAGACTTTCTGATTATATTATTCTTTTCTGCACAAGAAAGATGCACATCAATGGCACTGAAGGTAGTGGCTGCATGGATTTTTGCATATTTTGCTTGCATATTAAAAAGCCAAACATCTGCTGTTAAAGCCTTTGCAGGATTCTTCCCTGAAATTTACCATTCTACACAATATGATAGTCCTTGAGCCAGACCCAATGTATCTTCCGAAAGTGGCCTCAAGTTTTCATAGCTTCTTAGGGCTTGTTCACACCAAATGCAGACCAGATCTGCATGTGTTTCTGCACACGCAGTGCAGTGTGTTTTGCCACGTTTTTGCCTCGTTCAGGGACGTTTTTGCAACAACAACAAAAATGTTTTTGTTTAGTTTTTTGTTTAAAATGGGCTTTCAGTGCCTTTGTGTGTTTGCATGCGTTTTTTATGCATTCACAAGCGTTCCAGAGCAGGTAAAATACAGGGCTGCAACAACTAATCGACATAATCGATTATTGAAAAAGTTGTCAACTTTTTCAATCATCGATTAATCGGCTTCCAATTAGTTGGCCCTGTTCACAGCTCCACACACGCTGCGCGCCGCACCTCCTCCCCACCTCATGCTCGCTGCTGCCAGACCGGCCCGCATCCACGATCCACACGCTGCACCTTCTCACTGCCCGCCCACATCCACGATCGGCACAGGGACCCGGGGAGAAGTAAGGAGGAGCAGGTGTGGTGGGATGACAGCCGCCGATAGACAGGACCGATCTCAGAAGCAAGTTGCTGGAAGACTGCTCAGGTAAGCCTGCACTTTCCCCCACATGGTGCTCTATAATGTATTGCTGGGATTTGTATTCCTCTATAGCTGATGGTACATTGTGCTGTATATTATACCATCAGCTATAGAGGACTACAAATACCAGCAATACATCATACACTGTATGTATAATGTATTGCTGGGATTTGTTGTATTTCAATATAGCTGGTGGTTTTCTGCATTGCGCTGTATAGAGGACTACAAATCCCAGCAATAATACATTATACAGCGCAATGCGGAATACCACCAGCTATGGAGGACTACAAAACCCAGCAATAATACATTATACAGTGGTGCAATGCCGAATACCACTAGTTATAGAGGACTAGAAAACCCAGCAATAGTATACCAGGACTAGAATACCACCAGCTATAATGTACAATTGCTGGGTTTTGTAGTCCTCTATAGCCGGTGCCATTCTGCATTCATTGCTGTATAATTTTATACTTTTCATTTCACTATGTTGTACACCACACTTTTTTTTTTTTGTTACTTTCACCGCTCCAACCTTGCTCCTGTGATGGACTGCAATCTCAATACAAACTAGTAGTCCCATCACTAGAGCCATTTAAAATTTTTTATTTTATCCGATTAATCGAACTCAATAATCGGCTAACTAATCGATTTTGAAAATAATCGTTAGCTGCAGCTCTAGTAAAATAGCGCTTGCTGCAGTTTTTTTTACATGTTCTGGAACTGAACGCTGTGGTGTGAACTAGAGCCCAAAATACCATTGGAATACATTGGACGCAGTTTTGATCCAGTCTGTAACTGCTCTGCTCCTGGAACACGCTTGGTGTGAACTAGCCCTAAGACATAGCAGTACCATCCTTTTGCAACTACCCTAGAAATGCCAAGGAGGAAGAATTCCATTCTCTGTATGCACGCAGATGCCTACTTCACTATCTGGAAATGATGAGGGAATTCAGGAGGTCTAGTCATCTTTTAGTAGTCTTCAGTGACCATAAGAGCGGTCTCCAAGCCTCTAAAAGTGCAGTGGCTAGATAGATCCCAAAGACTATTTCATACATACATAAAAAGAAAGGGCTTCAAACTCTAGAGGCTTTGGGGACCCATTCAACATGATCAATAAGAACCTCCTGGGCAGAGAAAGCAGGTGCCAAAGTGGACCAAATATGTAGCACAGCTGTATAGTCAATTCAAAACACATTCATGAAGAATTACAGGGTGTAGGTGGTAGCTCAA